TCATCTGACCATGCGCACCATATTTTCCCTCCAAATGTGATTTTAAGACATTTCTCCAGGCAGTTTCCACAGTCATTTTGTGTTGTTTGTTTTTACCCTCAATTTTCACATATGGCTCACTTGAAATTGATTTAGATCTGTATCATAAGGTGGAACAAACTATTACACTTCCAAAAAAGACTTTATGTGAAAATGGGCTGGAGTTCAGTTAAACAGAGTTGATATGAATGCACCTCTTAGCCCTTTATAGAAAGACTGAGGCAAGTTTAAAATTAGAAAATACACAGTCTACTGAGAGTAGCAGGAAATGTTCCTGCACTTGAAAAAACTCAGGTAATGGAAAGAGCCTAGGACTGAGAACACAATAACACCTTTTTGTCATGCCTTGAGCAGGGTGAAGTATTCTCAGACCATTTTTTTCCATTTATGGTTAAGCTGCATTAAAATGGAGTAAAAGGACAGGCTCCATAAAGTCTTTATGGAAGGCTTATTAGAAAGCTCCTGTGCACTTCTGGAACCTTAAAGATATGAAAGATCAAACGTTCTGGAAATTCATGCTTCTTCTGTAGTAGAAAGTCTCTCCCTCTGTCCTCTCTTCTTACATTTTCCCCCCACATCATTAGTTCTCTGTGCCTTCAAAGGAAATTGAGGTGATGAATGCATCTGAAATCCCGATGGAGCTTCAAATCCAATTGATTTGTTCTGCGAAGTCATACAAATAATTAAAATTAACTTTTCCCATTAACATCACTCTTCATCATCAGCAAAATCATAGTTGTACTCTGATACTTCCTTTCCAAAACCAAAAAACTCAAAATGTTATGGAGCTTCCAAAAGCTTTCACAAACCATTCCCTCTTTTAGCATGAATTTCATACCATCAGCCAAAACAGGCAATGATGTATCCTCCAGCACTTCACAGCTTTCAGCAGCAAAGGCGAGCAGGTTTTACTCAGAGAGCATTATCAAAGTGCTGCTCCTCTGAACGACACATTTCATCTCATTCATTACAGCTGCTTTAGTGCTACTAATCCTCAGCTATAAACATGCACATGTAGACAAACACCTACACGGTAAATGAGCATTTCCATAGCAAGCCTCACTCAGGTTAGCATCACTGTGTTGCTTAATGAGCTTCAGGCGGGATGCCTTCCCCTGACTGCAGGCTGTGAGTGGTTAATTAATCAGACAGCTATGCCGTTGAACACCCACTCCCCCATGCCTCCTCTCTCTATTCAACCTACAGCAGAGTATAAATAGTTGAGACCTTTGGAATCGTCTCCTGTGATGCCACCTGGTACATTTAGCTATATCTGTTGTAGACACTCTTTTAGAATTACTGAACATGTTTTTTTTTGTTCTTTTTTTCCTTAGGTCTAAGAAAAAAAAACAAAAAAAAATATCTTATACAACAACAATCCTAACCGGCTCGCAATTATATGCTTCTGGCATCCTTTACTAAATAAAAAATCCTCGCCCAGCTTTTAAATTACTTGATTGGTTGGCAGCCCTGGAAAAAAATACTTTATATAAGGGGGACAGTATTTCACCAAAAAACAAGTATGTCAAGAAGCAGAGTTTAAAAGAGAAGACGTTTTTTAGCTTTGCTAACTTATTAGTGGTTCAATGTTTGGTCAATTAATCTAGCAGACAAGAAAAAAAGAACTGTGGAGTGCAGAGGCTGACACAAAAATTAAAGTTTAAGTGTGTTTGTTGGATTATATACATAAAAATACACAGCTGAATAGTTGAAACTTAACAAGACGGTGATATGGAATATGAGATGTTTCTTTCCTTTAGGACAATAATGTCTACTTAAAAGCCCCCACATAATGTGTCCTTCAATGTCTGGGCGGACATTGAAGGAGAGACAGCCTCAATGCAAAAAACCTTTTCTGACCACTTATGTGTATGTGGCGTCTCACCAAACCACTCAGAGGGAAGGTATTTCTTGCCAGAAACAAGTATTTATACTGAGCTGTTTTAAATGTTACACCAAGCTGACGAGGATCCCCAGCTGATCGCTGGCAGTAACTCGCTGCTCAGAGCAACCGATCGCAAGAACCAGCAGGGTGTCAGGCGCTCGCTCACCAATAGAGGAGCAGTGGAGAATAAACAGAGAGAGGTGCCATTTAGCAAGAATACCAATGCGTCCGTTGATTCCATGGCCATATGGGAAATAAAGTCATGAAATATAGGATTGGCTATTTCTTTAGTTGTGTCATTGTTTTAAGGATATATTATATAACATACAGGTTGAATAAAATGCAAACATAAAACAAAAAATTACAATAACTATTTAAAAATCTACAGTAAAGCTGAAAAATGTGCTGCTGGATGTAGGGCAGGGATCCCATTTCCGGGAACAGATGAGTGATATAACAAAAAACTGCAAAAGGCTTTTTTTTCTCTCAGCAAAGTAGTTATTAAGCTTTTACACAATGTACTTTAGTACGCTTTTCATAAAGCACAATAGCATGATGACGCAGATGTATGAACTGTATTCATGTAAAGATTTACAGGAAACCGTGCCCTAGTTTATTAGATGTACTGACAATTTTGAAAGATGATTTCTTTTAAGTTAAACATCTTATATTATCAGTTTTGGTGACACTGTTTATCTCCTGGCAACAGTCCAGGCAGTCAAAAGAATCTGACAAAACGGTAAGAAGTTATAAAAGCAAACCTAATTATTCTGAAAACTGTATTTCTATTTGACAGTGTTAAGCTACATTTAAAAGGAATATCTATCTAATGTCTGCATCAATTATGGAGAAAAATATCACCAAAAGCTTTATTTGGATGCTCAAATAAAGCAACATTTAACATTTGTATTTAATATTTCCATTTAATAATATAAATTTAGTTTTTTCTTAATATTCAATGGCATTTGAAGAGTTTTGTTTGATTACTGAAGTTTTAGGCTTATTTTCAAATCTATATATATTAAAAAAAAAACACCTATACATTTATTTAATTATTTTCATGTTGATGCTTCTTATGTCCATAAAGTCTCAGTGTTCCTATTCCTGTTTCCAAAAACAGAAGAACTGTTTTATTACAGCAAACTGTGCTTTAAAGTATTTAGGAAAAGTATAAAATATTCTGCTTTAGATGTGATCAGTCTTTTTTGGTTTGAACCAGTGAGGATCAGTCAGTCAAGACTTACTAAAAAGCAGTAAAATAGCCCTTTATTTGCACCCTAATAGGAAACAGATGCCAATTCTCTCATCTCTGGCTGCTAATGTTTATCCATACATGATATTCTAGGTGCTCACAAATTCTTCCTGCTTCTATTTCTTTTTTTTTCTATCACGTGAGGGTTTTTTTTTTTTCTTTTTCTTCCAATGTTTCATTTAAAAGTTGGGGAATAATTTTAACAACTGAGAGTGGATAGCTGGCCCAACTGGCAGTCCGTATTAGTTGAATTTGTAAACACAGCAAGAAATGCTCCTTATCTTACTTAAAAATGAGTCTCAAACAAAGATGTAACATATAGCTTTATCACAACACTCAAAAGCCATCAGTAGGCCTGAGGACAAATAGCATGACTCACTGAGTCTGTAGTGATCACTGCCTGCTCATTTATACATAAATAAACTGACAACAATGCAACATGCTGCCAGCAACTGCTGCTCTTGGATGGATGATGTGCGATGTTGGATAGAAGCATTGCTGCCTTTCGTTTGCCAGCTGGGATCTGTCGCAGAGATTGACAAACAGAGTCAATATTGTGCCAAGCAGCAATAAAAAGGTGGGAGACCACAGTCCAAAAAAAAAAAACAACAGCGGCTCCCCCAAATGGCTCACGCTGCAGCGGTTTGTATGCAGAGGCACATAGTGAAAACATGAAGAACGTGCAAATAAACCTAAGTTTCTCTCAGGGATGGGTGTCAACACCTCTTTGTTTTCTTTGCTGAGTGTCTGATTTGTTGATCTCTGAGAGAGCTATTTTGGTATTACTTTTAAACCAGAAATGACAGCCTGTAATATGCAGCCTTAAAGGATAAAAAAAAAACTCTTCAGTTACAAGCTTTCAGATCTATACTTTGGGTCTATAATTATAAAGATTAATATCTCAGCTCTGCATGGGCTGCTAATTTTGGAGACAACTCATCTCTCCATGACTGAGCTGACAGCAGAGGTAAAATGCTCCCTTATTGTTTTAGTTTGGCAAAACAAAACTTTAAAAATATTAATAATTCTATTCATATATGTGTTTGTGTGGCTACTCATTTGTTACCAATTTCCTGGGAAAATGCTACATGTGGAGATCAGTTGACTGGTCCCGATAAGGAAAAGTATTTTTTTAATAGTTAGGGGTTAGACTTAAATCTAGGGTGAGAATTCAGTTGAAAATAGGGTATGTATGTTGGTAATGGGTAAGGTAAAGGTAAGGGTCTGGGTTTCCACATACAAATAAATGGAAGCTCATATCAAATCTCCATTATATATGGAAACACAAGTGTGTGTTCTCTTATAACCTTTATTGTATAGTGAGTCATTTCAGGTGGCAAGTTACACAAGGCAACTACAATTAAAAATAACTAGATTTTAGGATTTTAATAGTATTAGATTTAACAAGGTTCAATAAAAATGCATGCAATTTATTTTTGAAATCTCTAAAAGGCAACATACAAGTTTTCTTTCATAATCATGCCTGCCTATATTCCCGCAATATGAGGTCACGACAGCAATCCAGGCTTCAGCTGCAAGTATTAGCGACAAAATGAGTCCAAATGGGCAAGAGCATGGTCATGACATGAGGGTGAAAAAAAAAAAGATAAAGGGTTTGATGAGGAAGGGAAAAATGCCTCTCAGGGCAATGTGCCCCCGCAGTGACTCCCTGATGAGAAAAGTGAACAGGTCTGTCAGTTGGCTTGCAGCAATCAAGGCAGCTCCATGGATCTGTCAGCGTGTTTCCAACCTGCTCATTACGAACCCAGGACACTGCTTGGCTGGAGTCACCCTGCTACAAGAGTTCACTGAGGTGTGACTTACCTTCAGCTCGTGTGGTGAACGGGGAGTCTCCTGGTCGCTTGGCTGAAAACTGGCTCCCGAGAGAGGTCATTAGAAAGCAAAGGCTGAAGAAGCCGACCCCGACCACAAAGATCCTGCAAGAAACAAACAAGGAGGCTGATCAGTTTAGAAAATGAGCAATTTAGAAGGTAAGAGTAGGAAAAGGAAATAACAAAATAAGGCAGGTGTCATATCCCACAGCTTGAAAGCTCAAGTAGAGCAAAATATAAGCTCCCTTATATCTGGGTGTGGATTCATAAACATGGACAAATTTCTCTACCTTCATATTGCAACCAAGAGGCCGGAAGCATTGTGTACTCGCCTGAGAGACTCATTTTAAATGTACCATTATGTTAACAAATTTTCAGCATCAAACTGTGCTCAGTGGGTGATACCACAAAATATGAATCCAAAGATGAATGTGTTCAGTGCTTTACAGAAAGCAGCAAACATTTGCCTACTTCTTCTTAAGTGGTTTGGAGTCATTTTCTAAAAACGGGCCCGCTGGAACTCTCAGGGGGTCGTGCTGGGAAAAGGTTTGGAAGCAATCCTATCACGAGGCAAAGCTGCAGGATGGACTGTCACACTTCTGTTGCAGACCTCATTCCTCTAAGACTCTACTTTTTTTTTTTCATATGGCAGAAAACTGACACAAGAGAGGGCTTATTTGGCCAACCAGAGCGTAACTAACATCTGCATTAAAATGCTGAAACACTTTTTTTCTCGTTTTGTAGCCTATATCATGTCTCTGGTTAGAGCTTTGGCTAATCAGCCAATCAGAAATGGCAGAGGTATTGAATTGATTAATTTGTTTTGCATGGATCAGCCTTTACAGAATAGTCTGTACATTTTCAATTGTGACTAAAGAGATACAAATTCCCCTCATTCTGCCTGACATATCCACTATGAAGCATGTTTGTTAGTAACTTTTTCAATTTTCAACCAAGATGTCCCAATCAGATCAAAGAATTTGGTAGGACTTAGTAAAATATTTCAGAAACCAAGCAAAAGCCACCAAAAGGTTAAGTCTTAAGAAATAGAAGAAGGGGAAACACATATGTCACTTTAGATGGTAAAGGAAACTTAATGTAAGCATGGACCGATATCCTGCTGAGAAGTTGAGACTCTCCTGCTCTACCTGCTTACTAAAACAGACACCTTCAAGCTTGACTGTAACTTCCATTGGGCTACATAAACTAGCCAAAGGGCTTCTGGAAAAAAAAAGTTATGGTCAAAGAAGACAGAAATCAAGCTATATGATCACATCAAGAAATGGAGTCTAGGCGGAAGTTCAGCTGAATAAACAAATTACTCGCCTTCATCCACCTACGACACAGCCAATCAGCTTTAAACCAAGCCTCCATTAAAAGCCATCAGCATCTAAAGTTCATCTTTAAAACGCCTCTGATTCACAACTCGTCTGCTACCTAGTGTGCACGAGGTGGTTGCACTGTGACTTTATTCAGATGACCCCATTTCAACCCAACTCCAGCCCCTCCTCCACCATCGTAGCTAAAGCTTCATCAGTGTCATTCCTACCGGACCCTTACTGCATTCTGCCTCTTATTTCAACCGGGCCGGCAGAAGACCGCCATGTTGACCCTGGTTCTGCCAGAGGTTTCTTCCCAATGAAGAGGTTTTTCCTCTCCACTGTTGCTTCATGCTTGCTCATCCTGAACTGGTTCTCAGTGTTATCCAACTGGACTTCCATCTTCCAGGTCCCTGAGTGAAGCTCTAGTATCAGCTCACCCCAACTCCATTTATCTCAACTCCACAACTAGTTTCAAGCCTGGGGGGGGGGGGGTGGGGGGACAGCCCCCTGTTCATACATATCTATCAAAATTAAGCGCAATGTTTCCTGCTGAGGTCTGAGCGCCAAAGACAAAGTAATTGTATCAATAAATTTCTCCTAATTGTCTTTTCTCTTCTACTGAGTTTTTCTGATTGAAAAAGAGTTTAGCAATAAAAAAGGATGACTTCCTCCAAATTACTGTATATTTAGAAAAAAAAAAAAAGGGTGGCTTTTATATTAACATTAAACTACATCTTCAATGAGCAAGTTTTTGAAACTTTAACCAATTGAATATACCACTAGAACAAAGATTCCAAGCAAACATCAAAACTTGTTTGGGAATAGATAGGAAAGGCTTATATTAGGCTTGTGGATTGGTGCCAACCTAAACGCGATTGAAAAGTTCATGAATAATGCTTTCCAGCTCAGTCTGTGTTGTTAAAACAAACCACTTTAATTGAGCTAAGTGGTCAAATATCAGAACAATGTCAGGACTTTTTGAGCATTGTAAAAAGCATGTTGTGTCTCTGGAACTTACTAACAAACCATCAAAATAATAGTGGTGTGTAATGTTTTTTATATATATGAGTCTGTATGAATAATGTTGACCCTATGTGGATCAGAGTAAAATGTACAATAAAAAAATAGCGATCTACTTTTATTTGAAATAAGTTATTTTTATTTCAATAATGACAAAGGTTCTATAAATAGGTCCTACTGTAATTTTTACTGGACTCCATGTTTAATGCCCATCATCTAAAAAGGAAAACACAGAAAGATTTGAATTCCCACAGGTAACACCCCCTGATTGCGACTCATGCAAAGCTGAGAGCCACAAAGTTTGGGTCATCTAAGCTCAGCGATTTAATGATATGTCTGCTTGTTTGGCTCTCTCTCTCTTCCCCAATGCAGCTGCTTGGGGAGTGAAGGACTGGAGCTGAGTAAGCGAACCTTAATTGTGCAGTAGCTTGTGCCCTATGGTCCCAATTCACCCAATTTTGCAAGTTCAGACAATTTTCTGAACTTGCAGAATTTGCTCCATTGAATAATAAATCATCACTAATAAGGAGATGTATATATATTGTTACTATTTTTCAAGGCTGCACTTTTAAAAAAGATGAAATTGTCCAGAGAGCTGTTCCAAACGAAATTTCTTTTTGTTTTACACTTGTAAACGTCTAAGTCATGTCTTTCAATTCTGCTTAGAAATATCCATGCACAAGAGAGGTAGCTTAATTATGTTTAAAAAAAATGATAATAATAATCAAGTTTCACAAAACAAGAAGTTACTTATTGTATTAACAGTTTTCTTCATACAAAATGTATCTTCAAACATGGAGATTTCTTATTGTTTATTAAAATATATACATACGTCTTTTCATTTAGGTCCAGCAAAAAAATTGCTCGATAAAATATGTTAAACAAATCATTCTTCATTAGTGATGTTATAAATTATATTGTGACACATTGTCTCTAAATGTTATCACATTTAGAGATCTATGTATTTTCTCTCCATATTTTACCTATCAGAAGCATGTTTACATTTTTTAGACGTATTTTCTATACAGAGAGGAAAAAAACTGTCAAAATAAATCACAAATATTTACATCTATCCAGACTATGATGCCTAATAATGGTATGATTGTGACTCTGAAACTCACCTGAATGGTTTGAAAGTGACAGGGCATCTCCTCACCATCATGGAAAGCTCACCGACGCTTATAGTCATTTTCCAACAGCGAAAAAAGCCTCAGATCCGTCTGTCATCCCGCTCATCTGCGCTTCAGATCGTGTCAAAAGCAGTTCTTAAACGTGCTCCTGTAGAATCTGCGTGGAGTGGAGTGGGATCTTACACTTCGCTCCCCTGGAGAGACACGCTCGGCTGTCCGTCCGCGCGCAACTTCAGCTCAGATCGCTCCCAACAGGGAGACTGGAGGCAGATATGAGTCCTTTCATGAGTTAGGAGTTACATTTCAAGACAATAAAGCGGCTGGAGCAAAATGAGGCAAGGCTGCTGAGTTTAGTGAATTAGAAGGTGGATGAAACAACGACTTTCATGTCTGTGGAAGCGGAGCTGCAGCTCAGGTACTGATAGCGCCATCTAATGACCAGCTCTGGCAACTAAAGGCGGACTTGTCACCTAATAAGTTCTACAATCAAAATGAGTGACATTTAAAAACAATCGCAGATTTGGACTTATACACACTAAATGAACTCTGCAGAAAAACAAATAAAAAATTTTCAGGAATTCAATTCAGTTCATTTATATAGCGCTAATTCACATTACATGTCATCGCAAGGCACTTTACAGTTCAACCAGATCATACTCTCAAAATGATTCAAAGTTTTCTATCTAAGGAAAACCAGTTTATTGCATTGACTCAAATACAATCCCTCACACTAAGCATGCTTGTAGCGACAGTGGAGAGAAAAAACTCCCTTTTAACAGGAAGAAACCAAAAAGCAGCGGTAAAGGGCAGCCCGGTCCAGGAAACACACAGCCAGGCAGACAAGCTCTGAGCCAGCTCCCATGTCAGAGGATGAAGAGAGCACATCCAGCAAGTCACGGTCAGAGAAACAGGACCACACTGGAAAACAGGCTGGTCACCAGCATCTATAAACAAGGGTGTTGATGGAAGCAGCACAGCTGATAATTCTCTCCAGGATGGTGTCATAGCCAAACAGGAACAGACGAGGCGAAGCTACTATCAGAAAAAGCAGAGAGAGCATAAAATTAGAGATTTAACTAGCAGATCCTGCAGAGTAGAATAGAGAGAGAATGAAGCAGAATGATGAAATGGGGGCCCTATGTCCTCCAGCAGTCTAAGCCTACAGCAGCATAACTATAGAGATAGGTCAAGATAACCTGAGCCACTCTAACTATAAGCTTTATCAAAAAGGAACATTTTAAGCCTAGCCTTAAAAGTAGACAGGGTGCCTCACAGACTAAAACTGGTAGTTGGTTCCACAGGAGAGGAGCCTGATAACTAAAAGATCGGCCTCCTATTCTACTTTTAGAAATTCTAGGAACCATTAGTAAACCTGCAGATTGACAGCGAAGTGCTCTGTTAGGGACATAAGAACAATCAGATCTCTAATATAAGATGGATATTCGAGAAGGAGGATTTTAAATTCTATTGTAAAAAAAAAAGGAAGCTCCGGAGGCAGGCAAGCAGACAGACAAATGACTTCATTGACACAAGATTTAACAGACTCAATACAAAATTATCCAAATTATTTCTTTTAAATCTTAAAATAAAATCTATTCAACAAGGTTAAGCATTTAAAACATAGTGATAGTTGTTTTCAAAAAATTTTATGAATTTCTAATAACTTGTGTGCTATCAAATGTTTTAATTTCTCCTGCAGGTAATAATAATATGTTATATTTTTCAGAAAATACAAAGAGTGGATAAAGTTATAATTATTTTGGCTAATTTGTCAAAACCAGTTAACATTTTTTTTTCCAAAGAAAGTTTCTGATTCACTTGTATCTGCCTTAGTAAGAATTGTGGTAAGAGCACTTAAAAGTTTGAATAACTAAACCTTTTGGCTGTTGGTGTTAGTGGTGCAATATAGTTAATTACTTTTATTAAACATACAACTACCTAGTTTATTCAGAGTTTTGCAAATAGAGAGAGCCATGGGTATAATGCAAACCAATTTGAAGAAACTTTTGGGGATAACATAGGCTCCATACCATTGAAATTAATATTTAAACTATACTAATTAAGTCTTAGGTTTGTTATGGCCTAAACAGAATGAAATTCATAGATATTTCAACATACAGGAGTTTTATTTCTCAAATATGATCACATTAGATATTTGGGGGGGAAAAATAAAGGTAATTGGGCAAAGGGAAACTAACCACAGTATAAATGTTCTAAAATTGCTCACACAACTGAGGGAATCATATCAAAGCTCCTAAAGTGCCCACAGAGTTGCCTTTGTATGTAACAGTGTGGAGCGAAGTCCTGTTGTGAGTGGCCTTTTAGCAGAGGAAAATGTGATGTTGCCCTGTGAGATGCTCCCACTAGCTGGTAAACATGATTTGAATGAAACTCCTGCCAACAGGATCATCAACTGGACATATTGTTCAGATGGCCATCTAATGGACATACTTGTTTGACTAAAATAAAATGTTGGATTGAATGTCCTTTCAGTTAAATGTTGAATAGGGCCAAATGAGTGCACCTAGTGAGTTTTTATTTTGTTGAGAGCTAAGCCCTACAAAATCCATTGTTTGAGGCGGAGGGAAATCATTACTTGCAGGGGTGATTCTAGGATCAGGGGTTTAGGGGTACTGAGCATGCAGAGAGCCGTCTGGCGAGGCATAACACATTCCATACCAAAGGGGCGGACCCCTTCGTCCGTTTCAATTTGCGTGTTTTCAAAACAAAAACAAGTAGCTCACTTTGTCGGGCTACTGTATAAATCCTTGAACTAAAGGCTATTCGTGAAATTTGAATTGAAAGCGTTTTTTTTGATGGGAAGCAAAACATCTTTAAACTGGAAACAAAGTCCAGTGGATTGTTTTTAGTTTTCTTCTTTTGGTAGAGAATCTTCACCAGCATTTAAAATGAGGCATTAGTCAGATTTATTAAGAGATATAAACATTGATATAGCCTCC